AGAAAGGGGAGGGGACACATCTGGGGGGGGGGGGGGAGAGGAAGATTTAACAACCTCAACTTTTTTTTTTTTTGAAGCTCTTACAACGAGAAAGGGGAGGGGACACATCTGGGGGGGGGGGGGGAGAGGAAGATTTAACAACCTCAACTTTTTTTTTTTTTGAAGCTCTTACAACGAGAAAGTGGAGGGGACACATCTGGGTGGGAGGGGGGAGAGGGAGGAGGGAGGGAGGCTTTGGTGATGGGACACAATAACTAACTACATTGTATATTGACAAAATAAAAATAAAAATAAAATAAGTAAGTTAGACTAGAAAAATAAAAAAAAATAAAATAAATAAAAATAAATATTCTGGTTAATTAAAAAAGCCAGCATGAAACACCCAATATTGAACGATTCTGTTTATATAAAATGCTCAGAATAGCAAATCCATAGAGACAGAAAGTAGATTAGTTTTTGTCAGGGGATCGGAAAAGAGAGAAACAGATAATGATTTTCCATCATAATAAAATGGGTGTAATAAAAAATGCCCTTTGGGGGGTAGTGATAATGTTCTAAATTTAAAAAGTGAATTAAAATTAAACAGTAGTGATGGTTGCTCAACTTTGTGAATACACTAAAAACTACTCAGTTGTGTACTTTATAAGGAAGGATCGTACAATATGTAAATTATATCTCAATAAAGTAGTTATAGAAAGGGTGGGGTAGTGATGTATCATACAAAGAGAATCAGATCACACCCATGGCTGACTTGAATAAGGCACTAAAATGGGATATGTACTGAATATGAATCTGGATTTTGGACATCATTGTCATTACCAGAATTAAACACATCAATTACTGAATTTTGCTTGCTTTTATACAGATACACTGTCCTGATCAGTTCATAATCTCTCATATTTCCTAACCAAAATGCTGGTTCATTTAAGACATAAGGAGAATATTCAGTGCTATGGTTTCCTCAGATCTATATCACTGAATACACATTTGAGAAGACACCAAGAATCTGGGTAAGATTCCTCACACCACAATAGAGAATTCAGAAATGACTACTCTGACGAAGCAAAGTGACCTTACTCAGAGTCACTAATTTGAGTTCTTATTCCATTCAAGTTCAATTGCTTGCCATGTCAGCAGAAAGATACCCCTTTCATAGTTTTTGTCCTTTAATATGTCAGACAGCAAATATTTTACCACCAAATTACTATGCAGTGCTATGTCTCACCAAAGTTGACAAAGCCCTGTGACATAGGAACTTTAATTTTGTGTGGTGAAGGAGTTAATCACTTTCAAACATTTATTAAAAGATTTCCACTCCTGGTAGGATATAGTTTTCTGTGGCAGCACATTCAAAAACACTAGAAAAAGATAGATAAATCACAAAAGCCTCTAGATAAAGGCATCAGAAGGCTTTTGCAGCAATAAGGATGAGATAAATTGGAATTGCAGAAGAGGAGGAGGCGCTCTGTTACAGTGAGTGGAGGATCACTGTCTGGGTTCCTGGCCGGGAGTATGAGCCCATTCTCAGCGCGGAGCTGGGCTCATGTGGGGTTCAAGCAGAAGACTGGACTGGCAGAGGGAAAGCAGTGGGCTTCTGACCTTGTTCTAGTCTTAAATCCTTGTCTGGGTATTCGTAATCTCAACAGAATGTACTCTTTTTTAAAAAATTTTATTTATTTATTTATTTTTATTTATTATTTTAAAAGATGACCAGTAAGGGGATCTTAACCCTTGACTTTGTGTTGTCAGCACCACGCTCACCCAGTGAGCTAACCGGCCATCCCTATATGGGATCCGAACCCGTGGCCTTGGTTTTATCAGCACCGCACTCTCCCTAGGGAGCCACGGGCTGGCCCAGAATGTACTCTTGAAAGGCCAGCTGATTTCAGATGGATTACACAGGCCGAATAGGGGTACTTTAAAGGTTTTCTTTGAAAATTAGATTGTAAAATATTTCTCATTTAATATATCAATTTATTTTCCCTCTATCATTCTTTATTTTTTTTCAGGAAGACCTACCACATTTTGTGAGATTATGGGAAAAGCAGAAATGTGGTTGATTCGAACTTACTGGGATTTTGAATTTCCTCGCCCTTATTTACCTAATTTTGAATTTGTTGGAGGACTTCACTGCAGGCCTGCAAAGCCCCTCCCTGAGGTAATTCATTGTGCTTATTTTTGCTTGTTTGAGTATTTTTCTCCTGCAATGATTTCTTCTTTATTTTTTATAACATTTGATCCTTAAACTGAAAAAAAAAAAAACAGAGAATTAATAGAGAAGAGCGGACATTACTGTCTGAAGTAATTATACTACCATAGATATATTGCAACCTTATCATGTCAGTCATTAGTGATGCTCCTCAAATATGCCAGATATTTTACAGGAACAAAATTTTTTGCCCCTGAGTTTGGTGGAGGCATGAAATATGTCTGGTCAATAAATATGAGCTGAAGTGGCATGCATCATTTCTGGGTCTAGCACTCAATTGCCAAGTCCAGTGCTCCAGAATTCTCTTTCCATTTGTCATATGAATTGAGTATGTTAGAGAGAGTAGCTGCTCTGTCAACCTGCATTTTACATCAATGAATATACATAGCAACTGCAGTGCAATAAATAGATGTATGATATGATAAAGAGATAAACTGTTCTTTTAAAACGCTGAGATTTTGAAATTACAAGTTATTTGGCATAACCCAATTTTATAAATATCCAATAAAGGAGAAATTTTACTTTGAGAATAGGTCGAGTAGATGTATGATGACCTAAAAACAAACAAAAAGCAGAAACACACACACAAAAACCCTGGAAGAAGTTTAGTAATGATAATGATAAACTGTTTGGTTGAACAAAGCAGAGAAATACACTGGAGAGATGTGAGGGGATAGGTTGTGAAGAAAAATGGGCGTCACTAAGTATTCTTTTCCTCAAATTTAAGGACAATGAAGAATAAGCGACTAATGTTTAAGCAGTAATATGGCAGAATTTTCCTTTTCATAAAGATCATCTGTTTGAATTGTTTGGAAGGAAGAAAGATTGAAGGCAAGAAAATGAGTGAGGATATGATTGCAGTAGTTCCTGCGAGAGATTATAGAGATCCAAACTGTGGTATGGTAGTGTTTTGAGTCAAAGTTAAGACGTTTAGGAAGTGTTTACAAAAAATGTAATTAGGACTTAGTTTTCTGCTGGAGGTGGAGATTAAGGGAAAGAGAAGTTAAAGAATAAATCCTGGCTTTTTGTCTCTCTGCGTGTGTCATTTATTTATTTACTTGTTTGTTTGTTTGTTTGTTTATACAGGCTCTTATACACACGAACATGATAAGAAAACATGCTAAAATTGGAAACTTTAAAAAAACAATAATGTTGTTTCGGAGTTAGCATATGTACCTTAATCCCTGTGCAGAGCTCTCTGGTAAATCAGCCTGGGTCATTTGGTTTGAATCAAGTGCGCATAGCTGTTTTTCCCTGGAGACAAAATCGTATCAATAATTGCGCAGCTATCTCAAAGTAATGAGACACATGTACACTTGAAAAGAAGAAGACTGTATTCGAGGCCTGCCCTTGGAACAGGTTCTTTTCTTCTTAAATGTTTTCCCCATCTATAGAAGAAGTAGAGTAAGAGCCACACTCACCCATGTATGTATGTGTGTTCTTACAACACCCAGCACAATGAAACCCTAGTGAGTGTGGCCCAGACAGGGATCTGGAGTAAAACTCAATTGGATTTTCATCTCCCCCTTCTAAGAAAGTAACAGGAAAAGGCTGGGGAGAGGAGCAAAAAACATGATATATGATGTCACTTTGATTTTGAATGCCAAAACAAGTTTGTGGAATTGTACGATTTATATGTTTCTCTTAGGTTTGTTTGGACCTCTAGTTCAGTGAATGTATTAAACAAACTTTCAATTTACCCCATATCATAATCAGTCCATAGCACAATCCACTCTTGATTTACTTATATTTTTACCTTATTCCTTTGTCCTCATTTCTTTTTCCATTCTTCTACCACCATTAGGCACCAGTAAAGTACACTTAATATTTAGCCACTCATTCAAATTTGCACATATTTATCTAGGTAACTATTGATCCTAAACAATATGTGTTATTGATTTGAGTTTTTTAATTATGTAAATGATATTATGCTATAATTTATAGTTTCTTATTTATTATGCAATACTATTTTTCATATTTATCCAAGTTTCTATTTGTAAATACAGTTCATTCACTCTGACTGTTGCAGGAATTTTGTTATATGTATCTACTACATTTGACTTATCTATTCCCCATAAAAAAAAAAATTAGGTGTCTCCATCTCTATCCTACTACAAAGAATATTGTGAAGAAAAATTTCAAACATGTTCCTTTATAGATCAGTGTATGCATTTGAAATATATACCTAATATTGGGATTATAAGGTCACAGTACAAGTTTTCTGTAATCTACAATGTCTAGGTGTCAGTCCTTATCTTAGCCATTGCAAATATCTTCTCCCATACTGTCATACATCTTTTACTGTTACCTCTGATTTCCCTTTTTAAACATAAAGTACCAAAGTTGATATAATCAAATCTATATTTTATTACCTTATGTTTTGTGCTCTTCAAAGTACTATTGAAAATCTTTTTTATCTTCAAAGTTATAAAGACATTCACCTGTGTTTTCTTCTGAAAAATGCTTAATACCTTTATTTTACTTTAACACGCATGCATTTAATACACATATTTTATATTGATGTATGGTGTGAGGTAAGGACCCGTGTCCCTTTTTGTCTAAGTAGTAAATATACTTTTATTAGCACTTCCTAATAAATAACCCAATCAGTATGAGTTGTTCTCACCGATTGTCTCAGTGACTTATGATATCACCTTCATCATACCGCGAGCTTTTACATACTCATGGTTCTCTTTCTGAGCTCACTGCTTTGTTCAATATTTCGCTTTGTCTGTTAGGAAGTCAGTGGCATTCATTTCGTATTATACATTATTACCTGGTTGAAGTAGTTCCCAGTATTTCCCTTTCTCTTTCAAAGTTTATTAATTACTTATGAAAAATTTTCTTCCATATACATTTGAAAATTTTCCAAAGTTCTCAAGAAAAATATACTGCAATTGCAAACTAATTTAAAGTGATTGATATCCATGTTAAGTCAATCCATCTATGAACAATGTGATGGTTACTTTTATTTGTCAACTTGCCTGGGCCACAACGCTCAGATATAAGGCCAAATATTATACTGAATATTTCTGTAAGGGTGTTTTTAGATGAGATTAACATTTAAATCAGTTGACTTTAAGAAGATTTCTCTCCATGTGTAGATCTCATTTAATCAGTTGAAGGCCTAATTAGAAAAAAGACTGACCTTTTCCAAGCAACAGGAATTTCTTCCAGCAGACGACCTTCAGACTTGAACTGTAACACCAGCTCTTTTCTGGTCTCTAATCTTACAGCCCAGCCTGTAGGTTTTGGGAATGCTTGCCTCCATTTCACATGAGCATATTCCTTAAAATCTCTCTTTTTTTCTCCGTACACACACACACAAATGCGGACACTCATCTTATTAATTCTGTCTCTCTATTTGGGTCTTCTTTTATGTAATTTACTAGAATTTAAAAGTTTTAAAGTACATGTATCTGTACTCTTAGTTTATAGTTTTAGTTGCTACAATGAATGCTGACCTATTTTTTTTTTTAAGCTTTCAATACAGGTTGATTATTGCTGTTATGAAAGAAATATTATGGATTTTTTGTAATGCTTATATTTGGGCCAACTTGGTGAAATATTTTATTATTTCTAATAGTTTCCATATTAGTTATTTAAATTTTTCCAATATTTTTGTAAATCTACATGGACATTTTATATCTATCCCTTTCAATTTTCACACATTTTTTATTGTCTTTTTAGGTAAACTTAGTTTGATAGTACTTAGAGGGACGGTGGAATTAATTCTTCTTACTTAAATATGATTAAATATGCCATTTTTACTTGAATGTAAAGCTATATTTTTAATAATTTCACTGTCATCTCTAGAGTATGCATAATAGATGTTTCTGTGTTATGTATTTGGTAAGGAATTTATATAGCTACCTTGTTTCTAAATGTGAATGTGAAAGCTTATATAAGGTACAAATGCAACCAAAAAAATAAAATTTTAGTTTATGAAACAAAAAATGTAATATACCACTAGTATGTCAATATACTAGGTGAGTCTGGAGAAAATTATGTTAAGTAAAGTAAGACCAACAAGGAAAGAGAAATACCTCACGTTATTGCTCATAACTGGGTGCTAAGAACAAATGAATGAAAGGAAGGAAGGATGGAACGAAGGAAGGAAGGAAGTTAGGATGGAAGGAAGGAAGGGAGAAAGAAAAAAGACGACAACAATGTGTTGAACTTTCAGAAGGAGAGAACAAACCTAAGGATACTAGAGATGCGGGAAGGGAGGGAGGGGGTTTGGTAAGTGATCGGTCAGGTAAACTGTGTACAAAAAATTACAGTTTGTAATAATGAATATGTTAATGATAAAAATTGAAAATTAAAAAAATAAAAGTTAGTCTTCATTAAAGAATGAGAAAGAAAAAAAAAAGTTGGTGATAATATTAGCATCCAAGGCCAAGTAGAGAATACCCAATATGGTCATTCTCTTTATAGTAAATAAGCTTAACTTGGAAATTTGGCTCTCCTACCTACTGCTGAATTGCCTTGGACCAACTATGTGACATCCGTGGGATAGATTTCTCATCTGAAAATGTATACGTATCTCTTAAGCTCATTATATGTAAGGAGTTCAGCTGATGCTAGGAGATAACAAGTAGTCAATAATTTTTAAATACAGACATACATATAGACTCCTCAAAAACATTTAGAACATGCTAGAAGACAACTCTAACTTTGATCGTTTTTAATTGGCCTAATAAACAATGATTTCAGGTCATATTTCAATCTCTACCATGGTTGAACATATATAAGGACAAAGCTGATCTAATAATTCCAACACATTGAGAATCTCGTGGGGCTGTTTTATTTTAGTGGAACTAAGCTTTCGTATTAAAAGACTGATTTTTTTTTCTTTCTTTCTTTTTTTTTTTTTTTACAGGAATTGGAAGAGTTTGTCCAGAGCTCTGGAAAAGATGGAGTCGTGGTATTTACTCTGGGGTCAATGGTCCAAAATCTCACAGAAGAAAAGGCTAACATGATTGCATCAGCCCTTGCCCTGATTCCACAGAAGGTCAGATAATATTATTTTCTGAGGAACAGCTAACAAAAAATCCAAGGAAGTATCCTAAAAATGTAGGAAAAGTTATTGGTAATGTTAGTGCTTAAAATGTAAAGAAAAAAAGCATTAACTATCAAATAACAAATGCTGCTTAGGGTGTGGATAGAAGGGAATGCTCCTACAGTGTTGGTGCTACTGTACATTAGTACAATCACGATGGAAAACAGTATGGAGGTTTTAATAACAAATGCTGCTTAGGGTGTGGATAGAAGGGAATGCTCCTACAGTGTTGGTGCTACTGTACATTAGTACAATCACGATGGAAAACAGTATGGAGGTTTTAATAACAAATGCTGCTTAGGGTGTGGATAGAAGGGAATGCTCCTACAGTGTTGGTGCTACTGTACATTAGTACAATCACGATGGAAAACAGTATGGAGGTTTTAATAACAAATGCTGCTTAGGGTGTGGATAGAAGGGAATGCTCCTACAGTGTTGGTGCTACTGTACATTAGTACAATCACGATGGAAAACAGTATGGAGGTTTTTTCACTTATCTTAAACAATCTGTTAGACTTCTTCCTGGTTTAAACCTCCATACTGTTTTCCATCGTGATTGTACTAATGTACAGTAGCACCAACACTGTAGGAGCATTCCCTTCTATCCACACCCTAAGCAGCATTTGTTATTCTCCATCTTTTTGATTATAGCCAGTCTAACTGGGGTGAGATGATATCTCAATGTGCTTTTAATTTGCATTTCAATGATGATTAGTGATGTTGAGCACTTTTTTCATGTACATGTTGGCCATTTGTATGTTTTCCTTAGAAAAATGTCTATTCATCACCTTTGCCCATTTTTTAACTGGGTTATTTGGGGACTTTTACACAAATGTGTAATTGCATGAGTTCCTTGTATATTATGGATAATAATCCCTTGTCAAATGTATGGTTTGCAAAATTTTTCTCCTACTCTGTAGGTTGGCATTTCACTCTGTGGATTGTTTCCTTTGCTGTTCAGATAATTTTTAGTTTCATATAGTCCTATTTGTTTATTTTTTCTTGTGTTGCTTGTGATTTGGGGCTCTTGTTCATAAAGTCTGTGCACAGATCTAGTTCCAGAAGAGTTTCCCCTATTTTTTTTCTTTAGTAGTTTTATGCTTTCAGGTATTAATATTTAAGTCTTTAATCCATTATGAGTTGATTTTGTTATAAGGTGAGAGGTGCATGTCTAATTTCATTCTTCTGCATATGAAATTATTTTCAAAGCACCACTTATTGAAGAGGTTGTCCTTTCCCCAATTTATGTTTTTGTTGCTTTTGTCAAATACCAGAAGGCTGTAAGACTGAGGGGTGATTTCTGGGTTCTCTGTTCTGCTCCACTTGTCCGAGTGTCTGTTTTTATGCCAGTTTTGGTTAGTCTAGCTTTCTAGTATAATTTGAAGTCAGGTAGTGTTATGCCTCTGGCTTTACTTTTTTTGCTCAGAATTGCTTTGGCTATTAGGGGTCTTTTGTTGCTCCATATGAATTTTATGATTGTTTTTCCCATATCTATGAAGAATGTCATTGGTATTTTGATGGGGATTGCATTGAATCTGTAGATCACTATGGGTAGAATGGATATTTTCACAATGTTAATTCTTCCAATCCAAAAACATGGAATATCTTTCCATCATTTTGTGTCTTCTTTAATTTCTTTCAGTAGTGGTTTGTGATTCTCATTATAGAGATCTTACATATCCTTGTTTAATTGATTCCTATGCATTTTATTTCATTGGTGACTGTTGTAAATGGGCCTACTTTCCTGATTTCTGTTTCTGCTAACTACTGTAGAATATAAATGTAAGTGATTTGGGTCATTTATTTGTATCCTGCCACATTATTAAAATTATTAACTGGTTCCAGGAGTTTTTTGATAGAGTTTTTAGGTTTTTCTATAAATATAGTGTCATGTCATTTACAAATAGGGACGGTTTGATTTCATCATTTCCAATCTGGATACCCTTTATTTCTTTCTCTTGCCCGATTGTTCTGGTTAGTACTTCCATTACTATGTTAAATAGAAGTCTTGGGAGTGGGCACCCTTGCCTTGTTCCAGTTCTTAAAAGAAAAGCCTTCAGTTTTTCCTCATTCAGGATGATACTGGCAATGGGCTTGACAGAACTGACGTTTACTGTGTGGAGATACTTACATTCTAATCCTCATTTGCTGAGTCTTTATCATGAAGGTACTTTGAATTTTGTGAAATGCTTTTTGTGCATCTATTGAAATAATTACATGTTTTTTGTCCTTGATTTTGTTGATGTGATGTATCCTGTAGAATGTTCCATGTGCTGATGAAAAGAATGTATAATCTGTAGTTGTTGGGTGAAATATTATGTATATATCCGGAAGGTCCAGTTGGTCTAAGGTATAGTCTAAATCCTGTGTTTCTTTGTTGATGTGTTGTCTGGAAGATCTGTCCCATACTGTGAGGGGTGTTCAGGTCACCCACTATTAACACAGTAGAGTCTATTTCTTTCTTTAGGTCTAACAGTGTTTGCTTTATATATATATGGGCGCTCCAGTATTGGGTACATACGTACTTATTATGGTTATATCTTCTAGCTGGATAGATCCCTTTATCATTTTATAATGACCATCTTTGTACCTGTTTATGGTTTTTGACTTAAAGTGTCTTTTATCCAATATAAAAATAACTACTCCTGTTTTGGGTTTCCATTTACATGGTATATCTTTTCCCATCCCTTCACTTTTAATCTGTGTGTGTCTTTACAGGTGAGCTGAGTCTCTTGAAGACAGCACATACTCAGGTCGAGACTTTAATCTAACTGGTCAGTCTGTGTCTTTTGAATGGGGAGTTTAATCCATTCACATTTAGGGAAATTGGCAGGTATTATTTAACTCCTGTTATTTAATTTCTTTTTGTTTAGATGTTTTAAATTTATTTTGTTCATTACCACACCTTTCTTTCTCTTCTTCAATGTTAGCTGGAAATTTAAGGTGGCATAATTTAGCCTCATTCTCTTTCTCAATTGTTTTTTTTTTTAATTTTATTTTATTTTGTCAATATACAATGTTTCTGATTATTGTGGCCCATTATCAAAACCTCCCTTGCAGCTCCCTCTCCCCTTCCCTCCCAACAACCTCATATCTGTTCACTTGTCCTATCAACTTCAAGGAATTGTGATTGTTGTGTCTTCTTCCCTTTCCCACAGTTTATTTGTGTGTTTATTTATTTATTTTTAGCTCCCACAAATAAGTGAGAACATGTGATATTTCTCTTTCTCTGCCTGAGTGGTTTCGCTTAATATAATTCTTTCTAGGTCCATCCATGTTGTTGCAAATGGCAGTATTTCATTCTTTTTTATTGCTGAGCAGTGTTCCATTGTGTAGATATACCACATTTTCCATATCCACTCATCTGATGATGGACATTTGGACTGTTTCCAACTCTTAACTATTGTAAATAGTGCTTCAATGAACATTGGAGAACAGGTATAGATTTGACTTGATGATTTCCATTCCCTGGGTATTTTCCCAGTAGTGGGATAGCTGGGTCATATGGTAGATCTGTCTGCAACTGTTTGAGGATCCTCCATACCATTTTCCATAGAGGCATTTTCATTTTAACAGCAGGTTTTACTCTTTCTTTTGCATCCATGACAGTGATCATTATTCAGATTCCAGCTGAAAGACTCCCTTTAGAATTTCTTGCGGGGCTAGTTGTGTGCTGGCAAACTACCCCAATTTCGGTTTCTCTTGGGAATATACTATTTCTCCCTTGTATCAGAAGGGAAACATTGCTGGTTATAGAATTCTTGGCAGACAATTTTTTTCTTATGGTATTTAGATTATATCATCCCACTGTCTTCTTCCCTGTAGGTTTTCAGTTGAGAAGTCTGCTGTTAGTCTGATGGAGGTTCCCTTATAGGTGAATTGACACTTTTCTCTTGCTGCTATTAGAATTCACTCTTTGTCTTTGAGCTTTGTCAGTTTTACTATAGTTTGTCTTGGAGAGGATCTTTTTGGATTTAATCTATCTGGGTACCTTTAAGCTTCCTGGAACTGAATGTCTTCATCTCTCCCTACACCTGGGTAATTTTCTGTTACTATTTCTTCAGATAGGTTTTCAATGCCTTTTCCTTCTTCCTCCCCTTCTGGAATACCCATGATTTGGATGTTAGAGCATTTGAGATTGTCTGCTAGCTCCCTAAGATTTTCTTCATTATTTTTATTTTTATTTTTTCCCGTTTTTGTCTGCCTGGGTTATTTCAAAAAGACTGTCTTTGATATCTAAAATTCTTTATTCTGCCTGCTCTAGCCTGCTCCTCAAGCTGTCTGTTGTGTTTTTTATTTCATTGAGTGAATCTTTTATTTCCAAGAGTCTGTTGCATTCTTTGTAAAGGTATTAAATCTCTTTATACATTTCCTCCTTTATAATCTGGATACTTTTTCTTGTTTCATTGTGTTCTCTAATTGAGTCTTCACCTATCTCTTTGAGTTTTCTTAAGATTATTTCTTGGAATACCTTTTCAGATATTTCAATCATTCCCTGTTCTGTAGGATCTGTTGTTTGAGCTTTACTGTACTCCTTCAGTCGTGTCATATCTTCTTGTTTCTTTGTAGTTCTAGTATTTTTTCATTGATGATTTGGTCATATGGTAGAGAACTTCCTGCTTCTATTACTCTGTTCTTCTCCTATTTCTTCTATATCTTCTTTATGAAGGTAAAGATTTCCTCCTCTGTTTGTAGGCATTGCCTGTGAATCCTCTTATATTGATGTAGTTGAGTGTGCAGTAGATTACCAGTAGAGTGGCCATGGCTGCTACTGTGATGTTGAGCCATGCTTGAAGTGACAGTAGCTGTGGCAGTGTACATGTACCCCACCTTGGCTCCACCAGGTTGGAGTCTTGGTCCCCAAAGGCACGTGGGCTTGTCTTACCCCAGTGCCTATCAAGGCTCTAGGCAGCTCCCTCCAGTGCTGGAGACTGTATCTCTGCTGGTGCATG